CCTCCTTCACTGGCCCTTTGTAGCCCAATTTTAGGTATTCCAATCAGTTATAGGCAGAAGATAGACTTACAAGCTTTCTATGGTGATGTTTCTGACTATAGAAGAAATATTTTTTGAGGGAAGTAGATTAAAATGAATGTAAACACTACACTAAATAAATCTTATTTTTCCTTCTTCAGGTACTGATGAAAGTGCTAAAAAATTCAACTTGCCCCGTCTGTGTATACAGAAGTTCTTTCCAACAAAAAAATGCTTTATCTTTGAATTGCCCACTAATTGGAAGAAGCTTGGCCAACTCAAAAGTTTACATGATGATGAGCTGGAACCTATATTTGTACAACAAGTTGAAGAATTCTGTTCCTACATCTTCAATCATTCCAAGGTCAAGACTCTTCCAGGAGACATCAAGGTCAATGGACCTTGTAAGTGTCTTTTTAGGATTTTCCTTCAATTTGACATAATGAATATAGAACTTTTTATAAGACTCTCCTAGTGTCAGTGTTGACAAATGCATAGTCAATTGTTATCAAGCTAATCATATTATCATATTTGTTAAATCCCAATGGGTATGAAAAAGATTTTTAGTGCTTTCTTAGTTATATTTCCATAGAAGGCTAAAACAGGAGAATACCCTGTAGAAAAGATCAAGTGAAAGAAGTTTTACTCATAAATGAACACTGGTGGTGTAGTAGGTTACGAGTTGTGCTATTAACTGGTAGGTCAGCAGTTTGAATCAGCCAGTTGCTCCATAGGAGAAAGATAAGACTATCTTCTCCTGTAAACACTTGTTATTGTTATTGTTGTTAAGCTCCTCCAAGTTGGCTCCAACTCAGAGCAACCCTGTATAAGGTTTCTGAGGCTTTAAAAATCTTTACTGGAGTAGAAAGCCTAATCTTTCTTTCTCCCTTGGAGCAACTGGTGGACTTGAACCACAGATATTGTGGTTTGCAGTCCAGTACTTACCATATGGACATTTATAACCTTGGAAACCCCATAGAGGATCCCTATGAGTTGGAACTGACTTGACAGCATACCACCACCGTCACCTAGAAGTGGTTAACTGTTGGATTAGAGTAAACCACAGGGACTGGAACCATTTTCCCCACACATATACTGGATCCTCATTATGTTTCGCAGCCTGTGGTATACACATAATAAAAAAGTCCTATAAAAATAGAACTTAATCAATAGAAACATTAAGCAAACAGAGGCCTAAAATATCGAGAACACTAAAAGAAGCCTGAGCAAACTTCTTGGCCCAGTTGTTTCTAAGGGTTCTATGTCTTAGAACTTTGTAAATTATTGCTGTGTTCTTGGATGAAGTTGAGTGAAAGCAAAAAGTGTGTAAAGAACAAGGAAAGAAAGTAAAGGAAAGAAAACTCCAGCAGAGAGGAGACCTGGTCTAACTTGCTTGTTTTGTGCCTTTTCCATGGAGGGTAATTTTCATACAAATCTTACCATACTGAAGTGAAAGAGAAAAAGAAATATTGAAGAGAATGGAAACCTGAGGAAGAAAAGAAAGGAGAGCGTAAAAAGACAATGGACCTATAGCATTCTAATCAAATGCATACATGTGACTTTTATGTGATCACCTCCTGATTTTTCTATTGGAGATTGATGAAATGTGGACAATAACATGGCCATCTTGGATTCTATTTTTCTCTGTGAACATGGTTTCTTTTTCCACAGAATGAAATATCTGGCTTCTTAGTCACAGAGTTTCCCAAAGGAACTTTTCTGGGCTATTTGAAAGCACTGTTGTTAAGTGCTCTTAAGTTGTTTCTGATTCATAATGACACTGTATAGGTTTCCTAGGCTTTTAAAATCTTTGTGAGATCAGAAATTCTCAGCTTTCACTTATGGACCAGTTGGTGGGCTCAAACTCAATCTTGTGGTTTACAATCTAGTGCTTATCCTATGGAGTCATCACACTCCCCTAGACACTGTACAGAATACTAGAAAAGTTCAGACAATGCAATGCTGAATTTTAGCATTCTAAAAATGACTCAATACAGGGCATGCCTTCTTTCCCTGCATATAATAAGAGCCTCTTTTCCCCCTATGAAGGCTTAGAGGAATTGGTGCAGACCTACGTCAATGCCATTAGCAGTGGTCTTCTGCCCTGCATGGATAATGCAGTCTTGACCTTGGCTCAGACAGAAAACATGGCTGCAGTGCAAAAGGCCATTGCTCACTATGACCAGCAGATGGGTCAGAAGGTACAGCTGCCCACAGATACCCTCCAGGAGCTGCTGGACCTGCACAAGGCCACACAGAAAGAGGCCATGGAAGTTTTCATGAAGAGCTCCTTCAAAGATGAGGACCAAAAGTTCCAGAAGGAATTAGAGGTAAATTTTGTTCTTGTTCTAGTTCATGGAGATTAGAATCAGTAGATACAACATATTGCTATGAAAGGAAAAAGATGGAAACTTAATTAAGAAAATCAATTCTTACTAGACAGAAAAATAATGATAATTACTTATGTGGGCAAGATATCATTGTCATCTTGGGGAAGGAAAATAACTTCTCTGGATCAGATAGATTTTGAAACTTTCATGTTATTGTTCTTCAGTGCCATCAAATGATTCTGACTCATAACAACCCTGTATATGGTTTCCACGGAGTGGCTGGTGAATTTGAACTGCTGACCTTGTGATGTGAACTGACCTTGTGGTCCAGTGCTTTATTCTATAGTGCCACACTGGGACTCATATGCATATCGTATTCCTTTGGGACCAATTTTTTGGATAACCCTATTCTTTTACAAAAGGAGCTCTGGTAGTGTAGTGGTTATGAGTTGGGCTGCCAACCTCAAAGTTAGCAGTTCAAAACTATCAGCGGCTCCGTGGAAGAAAGATGAGGCATTCTGCTCCTGTAAAGATGTACAGCCTTGGAAACCATGTGCAGGGTCACTATGAACTCCAAGGTACTTAACAACAACAAGAACATTCTTTTAAAGTGTGGCACTGTGAGATAATGCACTGAATCAAAAGCTTAGTTTGAACTGCAGGGTTGGAGGTTTGAACTCACCAGTACTTCCTCTGAAACACTGTACAGGGTTGCTATGAGTGCAAATCAACTCAACGTCACTTAACAACAGCAATTCTTTTTAAAATTATATTTTGAAATATCAATTTTTATTAGTTAAGCATACAAACATTTCTAGTTTAATATCCTAAAAATGATGCTTGTACAGTTTGTAGACTAGCTTGATATCATTCCAGGCAAAAGCTAAGAAATTGATGTCATTAAAAACCAGAGTGGCATTTGTTGTTTTTGTTAAGTGCTATTTATGACTCATAGCGATCTTGTATAGGATTTCTGAGAAGTGGCTGGTAGGTTTGAATAGCTGGCCTTGCAGTTAGCAGTCCAATGCTTATCCTAAAGGGCCACACCAGGATTTAAGAGTGGCACTAGTGGTACCACAAGTATCCCAATAATGACCTCTTCATCATTTGAAATCCCAAATCCAGTATAATGCTAGAACCAGAGATGTTAAAATATAAAAGGTTGCATTTACAGTATAGGAGTGAGACTAGAGAATTGTGGCTTGATCACAGCTGAAGGAGAAATAATCAGAGGAATAGGTTTCAAGGGATTTCTAACTTTCTGGAAAAGACACAGACTCTTTGAGAAAATCATTGCCAGAAATGTTGACATGTTGCTAACATTTTCTTGACGCATTTTTGTTCCTTTGAAGACCCAGCTAGAAGCAAAGCGTGAGGAGTTTTGTAAGCAGAATCTTCAAGCTTCATCTGATCGTTGCTCAGCTTTACTTCAGGATATTTTCAGTCCTCTAGAAGAAGAAGTGAATCAGGGAATTTATGCTAAACCAGGGGGGCATCGTCTCTACATTCAGAAAATACAAAGTCTAACTGATAATTACTATCAGATGCCCAGGAAGGGAATACAGGTATTCCTAATTTATCTATTAATTCTGGAAGACTACTTGGGGAGCAGGGCAGGAGACTCTTCAAAAATTCAATGAGAACAAAAAGAAAGATACATCTAAAGGCCCACAAGGGAGGTTTATATCTCTGCCTAGTAGTTAGTTCCACTTTCATTCAATAAAACATGGTTAGAAAATGTACAATGTTCCCAGCAGAAGGCTCTGCTCCAATGATCGCTGTAAAATTAAATAGAAATATCAGGAAGATCACTAGATTTTTTTTTATTTTGGGGGGATAACATCTGGTAGAGAAGACTTTTTAGTTGCACAAGATAGAAACCCAACCACTAAAACTAACTTAAAAAATAATAATTCAATTTCTCATAGAAATTAATAGCAAAGGTATTTAACTTAGCCCTAAGCACAGGAGTTTAAACAATGTCATCAGTTCTCCTCTTTTCTATTTTTGACCCTTGTCCCACTTCATTTTTGTTTCACTTAGTGGCTTAGTTTCTCTTATTAGCTTAATTTTCATGCAGGCTCATAGCAAATGGCAACAGCTTAGCTAGTCTTTAGTGCCCTCGGTCTCATGAAGAGACAGAGAGTATGTTTTTCCCAGCATCCATTTCAGTGTTTTAAAAATGCAGGTTGCAGTATTTTCCTGCCAGTGATCAAGTCCTTTGTATCTGATTGGCCAGTTTGGAGTCAGCCTGTGAGAGAAGAGGATTGATTAACAGTTTCATCAGCTACATAGGCAGCACGCTTCCAGGGAGGAAAAGATGCTGGGAAGACACAGAAATAAAGATGCTTACCACATTTATAGACACATTTTCCTCTTCTAAATGTATGTTTTTGGAGTTCCTAGGCTGAGGAAACTCTGCAGAAATATTTACTCTCTAAGGAGTCTGTGGGTGATGCAATTCTACAGACTGACATGACCCTCACAGCAAAGGAAAAGGAGTTGGAAGGTAAGAAGAAAATGGAAGACAAACCAGAAATTTCTGTAGACTTTAAGTTTAATTGACCGACTCCAATGGGATCATCAAAGTATCATCAATTGGGAATGAGCAAGATGCATCCCAGCCTGAGGTCGTATCTGTGGTAGTGGGATCGGTGGGGTCAGATGTATTATGGATGTTGTTACATGCTGTCAAGTTGAGTTGGTTCCGACTCATAGTAACCTTATATAAGGTACACCCAAAGAGCAGATGGTGGGTGTTTGAGCTGCTGCCCATGCGGTTAACAGTGAAGTGCTTATTGGTTACATGGGAAGAAAAGGGGGCTTCAGGGAATTTTCTCTATAATAAGAGTGGAATATAAAAGAAGGGGGCACTGTAACCCTAGAGAAATTTGTGTTTTTCTTGTTATCCTCAGAGGAACGTTTGAAAGCTGAAGCTGCACAGGCTGAAGCACGAAGGCTTGCAGCGATTCAAAGACAGAATGAGCTAAGGATGAAGGAGACGGAGAGGCTCCATCAGGAACAAATAAGACAGATGGAGAGGGACAAAGCAAACATGCTGGCCGAGCAAAGAAGGGCCCAAGAGCGTCAAATACAGGTATGCAGCAATTGTATCATCTCGGGATTGTCTTTTTCTGTATTTAATGATGAGCACTACCAGTTGTTCTGTGGGAGAAAGATGAGGCTTTCTGCTCCCATAAAGATTTACAGCCTCAAAAACCCTATAAAGGGTTGCTATGAGTTGGAACCAAGTTCACGGCACACCACCACCACATTCAGCAACGACAAGGATAGAGACAGTGTAATGCTATGACCCAGAAATCACATTGCCGCCACTTACTAAATATATGGTTTAGGCAACTTATCTAACCCCTTTATGGTTCACTTTTCCTTTTGTGTGTAAGGGAGACAGTGATAATGCCTATCTTATAGGACTGTTTTGATGATTAAATGAGATATTTTATAGTGAATTGTAAGAACGATAATCAAAACTAAAGACATTTTTAACTTGTAGTAATAACTGTTTTCTGTTAATTTGTTAACTGCTCTGGCAATCTTTTTCTTTAGTCATAGATTATTAATTAATGTTTCTGTTTCTGTATCTCTGACCTTGACTTGATCATCTCTGGTTTTGAATCTTTAAATTGGAGATTTTATTTCATATCGGTATCATTATTATGACTCATTAAGCAATACTATTTTATCTATCAAGTATTGCAGTATTATTTTATCTATCAAGTATTATACAAACATTTTATATGTTTTGCTTCATCTAATCTATTCATTAAGGAGCCCTGGTCATGTAGTGGATTATGAGCTGATTTGCTAATAGCAAGGTCAGCAGTTTGAATCTACCAGTCGTTCCATGAAAGCTTTCTGCTCCTATTAAGATTCGCAGCCCAGAAACCCTATACAGGGTCGCTAGGAGTCGGAACCAACTCAATGGCACATAAATAATCTTTTCATTGTGAGGCAAAACCAATGTTTCCATTTGTTCAAGTGAGAAAAATGAGATTTTAAAAAGATGACTAAATACCAACATTCCATACATAGCCTGGGAAGTTACAAAAACTATCGTCTCTACTTTTTTTTTTTAAAGTTTTTATTGTGACTTGAGTGATAGTTTACATGGGAGAACATTGGTTTTACACCATGGTTTCATTGCAATGATTACAATCTCTTCTGTGCATCATCATTCAATAATATTTGCATATATTCCCTGTTTTTTGTTTGTTTTTTGTTTTTTGTTTTGGGAGATGTGCACAAAAACACTCAGGACTATATAATCATTTAAACAACCAAAAGGAACATTCTACAAGCCTGCCTCCTGGCTGCCAGTAGACA